TTATTTATATACTGTACTTATGAAATTATTTTAACAAAGCTGTGGCAAAGCACTAATTTGAGAGGGGGGGGGGGGGGGGGGGAGGAGAGAGAGAACTTTTTGTGTACTTCTATTCAAGATTTTGTGTGTGTGTGTGTGTGTTGAGTCATTGATATTTTGATCTTAAAATCAGCAGAGGTTTTTAAAGGTCATAAAATATTTCACAATAAAGAGCAAAATCCACGAACCATCAAAAATGGCCTCATTCCAAAAATTAACGTGTTTTTTTATTATAGATAGTGTAGACTTTTAGCTTTTCATAACCGTTTTTCTTTTTTCCATATCTTTTATACTTTTTTAAAGGGAGATCTTGCAGTATGGCAGTGTTTTGATGGAAAAATGCAATAGGAACGTCATTTTTTGTAATATAACGTCACGTCAAAAGGCGATAGAAATGACTATCGGATTATAATGTGCCAATATATGAACACAGGAATTGAAATCAAATAATTGGGAATAGACATTTATCTTATCAACATCATTATCAATTTATGATTATATTAAAAAGGAGATAAAGATGTTCATTTTATATACAAATGTACATGTACCAGTCAATTCCCCACCTAAGAATAAACAGAGTATATAAGAAGTATTACCTGATATATTGTTCAAAATATGTCTTTACTGCAAGAAATTAATAAAGACAGAAATTTGTGCTTATACTCATTTGAATGTTTTTATACAAAGAGAGTATGTGACATTTAGATAAATTCTTATCTATATTGCTAATGCGTGCGGGAAATTTGGCCGCAACTCAACCTCACTGATAGTGTATTTATTTAAAAAAAAAAATAAATTGGTGATTCGTGCCGGGTTGTAGAGATAAGTGATGTTTCTTTTTTTCTCAAAACATATCATTATCGATAGATCTATGAATATAATTAACTTAATATGCTTTCTTATATGTTAAATTACTATAACATTCACTACTTTCTATTTCATTTTCACGTTATGATTTTTATGTGTACAATTAGAGCAGTGCTGCATACGTAAACCAAAGCTTATAAATATACATGTCAAGATAGTAATTGAAATACATGTACAGGCAAGAACATTTTACTTACTCGGCGCAAGATTGATTTTACATGAACAAGGCCCTACCACAGGCAGAATAAGAGAAGAGGATAAAACAATCTGTAATAGGGAATATTTCTGTGGTGAACAGTGGCAGATGTATGGTGGGATGGGGAGGTGTAATATAAAACACAAACACACAGACTAACTTCTATTTCGTTGCAGCAAAAATAGCTGTAAATAACTTGCAGACATGTATTCAGGAACATATTTCAGGGGTTGTCTTGTACATATTCTACATTGCACTGACTATACATTTGAGTTGACAAACACAGAGTCTATCCCGGTGCCCAGTTAATCATATAGTCATGAATTGTAGCTTTAAATAAATCCCATACTTCAAATCAATGCTGATAAAATTGCATGCATATGTAATGCACTTATGATTTAATGTCAAGCAAAGTAAACCCCCACCGCATCCCTTCTCACTGTGTGGTGAGAAACTAGGTGGATCCAGTGGGAGTTACGATTTCAGAGTAATTAAATGTAAAGTAAGAAAAAAAAATTAATTTGCCACCCCTCCCCCCATTCCTACCCCACCCCAAAGGATCTGCATTTGGTCAGAAGAGACGTGTATATAAAGACTGCTTGCCAATGTGAAGTGTCCAACACCCCCCACCCCGATTAGGTTTTTCGCGTTGAAACTGTTTTTCCCTTGTCAAAAAAATTTAAGTCGGATTTTTTTTGGAGTGGATATAGTTCCCCCACACCCTCCAACCCCCTTTGAAAAAATCCATGGACCCATCGTTGACTCTAACATTTTTTTTATTTTACTGAAATGCCTCAATTATACCGCCGAAAAAAAAAAAAAAAACAAATAAATAAATCAAAAATAGGATTTCGAATGAAAGACTCTTCTAAGAAAAATGTCCCCTTTCGAATACTACGTGCCTGAAAATCAAGCCATCCTATGTATATCAGGCCCGTAGGAAGCAATTTCAGTTGGGGGGGGGGGGGGGGGGGGGGACAGCTATACATTTTCAGTTTCGGGGGGGGGGGGGGGGGGGGGGGCACTATCAACTACCAAAATTTCCTTGAAGAGTAAAAAAAGTCATCAGACGTTTTTATTAAGGGGGCACAAACATATAGTAGCTAGGTTTTCTATAGTAATCTATATACTGGGGGGACATGCTCCCCCGGTTCCTAACTTCCTAAGGCCATGTATATTGTGTTTAAATGTTAATCAGTGTACAGTCATTTGTAACGAGAGTTGTACTGGTCAATAAAACTTGACAAGAACAATTAATACATAAGACTGCGGTAATTACCATAGATCTACAGATTTTACTCGTTATTGACAATTGAATAATTATGAATTTTTTGAAATATACATGTATCAATTCCCCTTTTCTTCTTTCTTGTCAAAGCGTATGACATTTTTTTTTTGCTCGTCATCTCATTATTCTTGACGACACCCACCCCCACCTCTTTAAAAAAAAACAAAAAACGATGCCCCGTATACCTGAATATTTTTAGTAATTTCCATAGGAACACATATTTAAAATAGGCATTTTGCTTCTGGAAACACATTTGAAGTATGTCGCATAAACAAAAATACGTGTATCAAAACAAATACTGTCGACGTAAATAAAAGATATACGAACAAATATACTTTGAATATTTTATTTAGTCAGAAGCCAGACAAGTATCCTTCCTTTGAAAAAGGATGAAAATTACTTTTCACGCTTTTAAATGCATGTGCATAAGAATTATTTGATTGGCATGTAGGTACAAAAATAAAGATTGATTGCAACTACATGTTTATACAAATTTTGTATGTTTGTTTCCACATGGGGATTCGTCAAAGACATGTGCGTTTTACGCACCCGCATATGAGTTCTATTTTGGATCCAGTTTACAGAAAATCTCAATGTTAAAATTTGTAATGATTTTTTAAAGATATTTTTTTCCTCTTTCGAATTAATACATTTAACAAAACAGCAAGCTAGGTCCATAAAAGAATTAGAAAACTTTTTTAATTTAGCAAAACCACAATGACTATATCCTTTATGACGTCACAAATGACATATATGAGTAACGTCACTTACAACATACATGATCTTAATACAAGTTTTTTTTCCAATTTCAATTTCTGAAAATGTTATTTATAGATTCTGTTTCCACTTTATCGTCTGCACATGAAACAAACAATCGAGTGCTTCTCTATCACCTTGTGTGTTATCTATGGATCTTAAGTGTAATATGAAGCACCCATTAAGGATTGATTATCAACAATTATTGATTCTTGAAGGCATCAAAATAAACTGATATAAAGTCAAATTTCGTATTTGCCACAAGCAGGACCAACGATTATAATGGGCATGTACATTTGTATGTGTGGTATTTATACAGATTGTAAGTATGACAATTGTTCTTGCCTGTGGCCTCGTCTTTGAAAAAAAAATCTGTCGAAAAATCGACATTTTTTATCGCATTTTAGAAACCATCACATGTTCTAATCGTCAGATGTGCCTATCGGCGCATCATATAACAATTTGTTTTACATGTGGGATAGAAGTGTGTTGTACACTTACCCAATAAATATAATACCCCTCTTGAATCGATGCTTTAAATTTGTGTAAAACACGAGGAAATACATGTATATGATAGTTTGTGGCCATGATAGTTCTTTCACACGCAATGATTTTTTTTCTTTTTTCAACAAGAGCACACTCGTTACGGGTAAATATTTTCATTGGAAAACATTTCTCGAATAGTGATTGTTACTTTTCTGTTTTAATAATAATAATATTTTGCTGTAACGAATGTGCCCTATGTGTAAATCATGATTAAATGTGTAATTTTCGGCATTTTCCCAGAAAACCTCGAACCATGGTGAGGTTTAGAATTTAGTTTGACATCATTAACATCCGGTTTCGACGGCATTGTTACACGTGTGAAATGTGTCAATGTTCTAGGGTGCGAATTACCAAAAACATTTATTCTAAAGTCCTCTTTAATTTTTTCATATTTGCTAGGCCATATAAGGCATATTGTGGGTCGAGTTCTTTCATTACAAAAGCTGATTCCAGTGGATTTCCTTATTACTTAGCTGGAGAGTTTCTTCAATAATAGCCAAAACTCTAAAAGAAAAATTAAGGAATCGGAATTTCCTGGCAATATGCACATCTATACACTGTGTCCTAAATATTTGCAAAGTATGACGAAATTCTGTGCAGCGGTTTAAAAGGAGTTGCACTGACAAACTGTTCCTCTCTATATTCAAGATACGGCCAAAAATCTAAGTTGAAAAGTGCCGAAATTCCCAAAAAAATTTAGGAATCGGAATTTCCTGGCAATATGCATAACTACACACTGTGTCCTAAATATCTGCAAAGTTTCACGAAATTCTGTGCAGTGGTTTAAAAGGAGTTACGCTGACAATCTGTTCCTCTCTATATTCAAGATGTGGCCAAAAATCTAAGTTGAAAAGTGCCAAAATTCCATGAAAAATAATGGAATCGGAATTTCCTGGCAATATGCATAAGAACACACTGTGTCCTAAATATCTGCAAAGTTTGATTAAATTCTGTGCAGTGGTTTAAGAGGAGTTGCTCTGACAAAAAAAATAGGACTGATGGACTGACGGACTGACTGACTGATGGACGGGTCTAAAACATTATACCTCACGCAACTTGTTGAGTGGGGTATAATAAAAAGGCCTTAAATGAACCTTCTTCTTTATCAGAAAAGACTTCTTTCCAAAATAAACCATTACTATTTATTACAGGTCTTCAATTTTAGGAAAATTTTCACATAGCCTGTATTTTTGTGTAAGTTGTAAGTTGTGTGTCCCGTCTTTTTTTTTTTTAATTTCAATTCATCTTTATACAACTTTTGATTCTAAAGTTAAAAGTATTTATATGAATAATCTATTTGATACTGACCTGGCTTGAGAGTCTTGATAGCCACTGGGGTGGTACTATTCCACAAACCTTCCCAAACCTCCCCAAACTGTCCATGTCCAATATTCCTCAGCAATTTTAGGGAAGATTTAGGAATTTCCCATTGGTCTTTGGTGTTGTAGGATAATCCAATTGTTTGAGGCTTTTCTATCTATAATCAAAATAAGAACTGTTAGTGCATGCATATACTCTTAAAGCCCGAGATAATAAGCACCGCCCTCAGATTTACCTGGTCTTTATACCCCGTTAATAAAGTAAATTAAGGTCCATCATTGGATGCTTGAAATTGATTGACATTTAGTTGCTAGTCCCTGTGTATAACTTGTACACCTTGTTTGGCACTCGTGGCGAACAACAAATTAACTTTTGGTCTTTTAATATTTACCACATATATACCAAGGCGATATAGAGCTGTATTGATGCTAAAAAAAATTTATCTTGAATATAAATCTAGAACACAAACATGCAAAATCATTATACCCGCACTTTCTAAAGAAAGTTCGGGTATATTGTTGTTACTCATGTCTGTCCGTCCGTCCGTCCGTCTGTCACACTCTTATTTCTCAAACTCCTCTTACATTTTACACAGTAGCCTAATCATCTTTTGGGAGATGTTTGGTGGTGTCATGTAGATGTGCAGTAAAGTTTCGGAATTTTCATTTTCACCCTGGGGGTCAAATGGGGGTCGAAAAATGACGTTTTTTATGCAAAAAGCCCCTGGTTCCCTGAACTCCTCTTACATTTTACACAGTAGCCTAATCATCTTTTGGGAACTGGTTGGTGGTGTCCTGTAGATGTGCAGTAAGGTTTCGGAATTTTCATTTTCACCCTGGGGGTCAAATGGGGGTCGAAAAATGACGTTTTTTTATGCAAAAAGCCCCTGGTTCCCTGAACTCCTCTTACATTTTACACAGTAGCCTAATAATCTTTTGGGAGATGGTTAGTGGTGTCCTGTAGATGTGCAGTAAGGTTTCAGAATTTTCATTTTCACCCTGGGGGTCAAATGGGGGTCGAAAAATGACGTTTTTTATGCAAAAAGCCCCTGGTTCCCTGAACTCCTCTTACATTTTACACAGTAGCCTAATCATCTTTTGGGAGATGGTTAGTGGTGTCCTGTAGATGTGCAGTAAGGTTTTGGAATTTTCATTTTCACCCTGGGGGTCAAATGGGGGTCGAAAAATGACTTTTTTTTTGTGCAAAAAGCCCCTGGTTCCCTGAACTCCTCTTACATTTTACACAGTAGCCTAATCATCTTTTGGGAGATGGTTGGTGGTGTCATGTAGATGTGCAGTAAGGTTTCGCAATTTTCATTTTCACCCTAGGGGTCAAATGGGGGTCGAAAAATGACGTTTTTTATGCAAAAAGCTCCTGGTTCCCTGAACTCCTCTTACATTTTACACAGTAGCCTAATCATCTTTTGGGGGATGGTTAGTGGTGTCCTGCAGATGTGCAGTAAGGTTTCGGAATTTTCATTTTCACGATGGGGTCAAATGGGGGTCGAAAAATGACTTTTTTTTTGTGCAAAAAGCCCCTGGTTCCCTGAACTCCTCTTACATTTTACACAGTAGCCTAATCATCTTTTGGGAGATGGTTGGTGGTGTCCTATAGATGTGCAGTAAGGTTTTGGAATTCTTATTTTCCCCCTGGGGTCAAATGGGGGTCAAATTTTTTTTTAAAAATATTTAACATGTTTAAACATCCTGGTTCCCAGAACTTCCCTTATATTTTATGCACTAGCCTTAAGGACATACGCAACGTAGTTTGAATTTTATTGTCTTTTTCCCTGGAGTTGAAGAGTTCCAATACTTAAAGGAAATGTGTGCTACATTTTAATGTCATATAAATATGACCAATCAAATCTTTGCTGTTCCTGACAAGAAGATTTTTAAAGATTTTTCCTATATATTTCTATGTAAAACTTTGATCCTCCATTGTGGCCCCGCCCTACCCCAGGGGTCATGATTTGAACAAACTTGAATCTTCACTACCTGAGGATGCTTCCACATAAATATGACTAATCAGGGCTTTGCTGTTCCTGAGAAGAAGATTTTTAAAGATTTTCCTATATATTTCTATGTAAAACTTTGATCGTCTATTGTGGCCCCACCCTACCCCCAGGGATCATGATTTGAGCAAACTTGAATCTACAATACCTGAGGATGCTTCCATATAAATATGACCAATCAAATCTTTGCTGTTCCTGACAAGAAGATTTTTAAAGATTTTTCCTAAATATTTCTATGTAAAACTTTGATCCTCCATTGTGGCCCCACCCTACCCCTGGGGTCATGATTTGAACAAATTCGAATCTTCACTACCTAAGGATGCTTCCACATGAGTTCCATCTTTCCTGGCCCCATGGTTCTTGAGAAGAAGATTTTTAAAAGATGCTATTAATTTTTCACTAATTTTTAATTATCTCCCATTGGAAGAGGATGTGGCCCTTCATTTGAACAAATTGAATCCCCTTTATCTAAGGATACTTTGTGGCAAGTTTGGTTGAAATTGGCCTAGTGGTTCTTGAGAAGAAGTCGAAAATGTGAAAAGTTTACAGAGGGACAGACAGTCAGAAGGATGATGGACAAAATGTGATCAGAAAAGCTCACTTGAGCCTTTGGTTCAGGTGAGCTAAAAATGGATGGGATTTCTGTTTGTTTGATATGAAATTATGGAATTTTACAAATATTAGCTATTACTCTGATATTTTCTGTCGATGTAGAGATCTGTTAACTTTATCTCTAGATAAAATGTACTGGTAGGCCAAACAAGCCGTACAGGTAATACTCATGAACTTCCTGTGTATACGGTTTGTGTATAGGGATTAGCGTTCTGCATGGTCTGCACGACCATCAATGCCTCAGGGTACCATACATATAGAATTAAGTCCCTCCCCTTACCTGAGAAAACCATACTGTTAAAAATCTCTGCCTTTAAGTAAAGGGGCTATAATGATGGTCTGAGACGATACAATTTCTTCTATGTCAATGGTCTGTATAACACTTAACAATTCAAATTTCTAAAATCATTTAGAGTTTTAGAATTTTAATATATTAGTTCAAATTTCTAAATTTCAAAAACTCAAACTGATTTCATATATTGAAATTTAACATTTTAGTTCAAAACAAGAGGCCCAAGGGCCTTAACAGTCACCTGAGTATAATATAACAATATAGAGGATCCATAGAGTATAAAATGAACTGAAAGGTGAAGCTTTGTTGCCCAAAAGCAAGAAAAATAGGGTGATCAGGATCTGCAAAATAATTAGTCTATTATTCATTAATAGTTCATAAATTAGGTTCTAATCTGTTCCCCATTTATCACTCTCACCAGACAGTATATAAACAAACTATCAGTGCTTCTGTACTCTTTAAATTCCTTGTTGAAATCTCTTACATTGGCCTCTCTTGGTCTTTGATGAACATTTAATAAGACAAGTTATTTTTGTCTCATTTTTATTTATCTATTACTTACAAGTCTACCTGATCATTAAAACTACGAAAGTACTTTTTGTATTATACAATAAAAATTCTTGCATAATTCTCTTATTCTATTAACCTTTCAAGTACATTATGTACAGTGATTAATTATCACAAGTAAATGGCAAAAGGGAATAACTCCTCTCAGTAGAATACAAATTAATAGAGCCCTGGCCTGGACCAGAACACTTGACCAAATGGTCCTGATGTTCAAAAATCTGTTAAAAATACCCTTCCTTATTAAAACTTTTACTCTTTTTGCCTCTGATATGCCCAGGTGCAGAGAAGTTTATTAGAGCCCCACCCTAACATCAGAACCTCTGATCCAGGGGTCATGAAACTCACAATTTTGGAAGAGGCATCCTTGCTTATCATAACCATGTATTTGTTTAAATAATACCCAGGAGAAGAGAAGAAGATTTTCAAAGAAATAATGCACTTTCACTATATGATCTATATAGCCCCGCCCTAGCACCAGAACCCCTGACCCTGGGGTCATGAATTTCACAATTTTGGTAGAGTCACCCTTGCTTGTCATAAATATTTATTCAATTTGTTTTAATAATACCCAGCAGTAGAGAATAAGATTTTCAAAGAAATAATGAACTTTCACTATATGATCTATATAGCCCCGCCCTAGCACCAGAACCCCTGACCCTGGGGTCATGAATTTCACAATTTTGGTAGAGTCACCCTTGCTCATCATAAATATTTATTCAATTTGTTTCAATAATACCCAGGAGTAGAGGAGAAGATTTTCAAAGAAATAATGAACTTTCACTATATGATCTATATAGCCCCACCCTAGCACCAGAACCCCTGACCCTGAGGCTATGAATTTCACAATTTTGGTAGAGTCACCCTTGCTTATCATAAATATTTATTCAATTTGTTTCAATAATACACAGGAGTAGAGAATAAGATTTTCAAAGAAATAATGCACTTTCACTATATAATCTATATAGCCCCACCTTAGCACCAGAACCCCTGACCCTGGGTCCATGAATTTCACTATTTTGGTAGAGGGCTCAATGCTTATTACAACCATGCCAACAGTTTGACTGCTTGATGTCCAGGAGTAAAGAAGAAGATTTTTAAAGATTGCATTAATTTTGATGGTTTTGGCCCCACCCCTCAGGCCCCAGGGGGGCAGGGACCACGAATTTCAAAATTTTTGTTCCCCTTCACCCATAGATGCTATATGCCAAAATTGGCTGAAATTGGTTTGCTGGTTCCAGAGAAGAAGCTGAAAATGTTCAAAAGTTTACGACCGAAGAACGACGGACGGACGAAAAGAGATAGCAATAGGTCACCTGAGTGACTCAGGTGACCTAAAAAACCTGAACTTTGAAATTACCGAACAGGTTTAAAAATTTTTAGATTTTTAGATTTTTACCTTAAATATTCAAATTTCAAATTTCCAAAAAACGATTTTTGTATTTTAAACTTTTGAGTTTTTAACCTATAAAATGTTCAGAAAACTTATGCTTAACAGTCTAAAATTCAGTACCATTTTTCGTACTTTGATATTTTGATATTTACTTCAAACTTCTAAATTTCAACTTTCAAAATGTTTAGATTTTTTTTTTGAAATTTAGAATTTTGATTCAAACATTTAAATTTCAAATAACTAAAACACTTTTTTTTTTACATTCTGAGTTTTTTTTAGTTTTAC